GTGCATGCGCGGGTGCGTGCCTATATGCTTTGGTGTGTGTGCGTGCGTGCATGCGCGGGTGCGTGCCTATATGCTTTGGTGTGAGAGTGTGCGTGAATGCGCAGGTTTATGTGCAACTTCGTGTTATGCGAGCACCATACGGCGTACACATCGAATTTATGCGCCTCACGTGTTGCCGTGTTGCGTGTTTGTGCGCTGACCTCCCGCAGACCTGTACGCGTGGTCGTCTGCGTGCGAAATATACACCAGAAGGGCGATGACAGTGGGTAACCATGATAGTAGGTAACCATGCAGTAGAGAGCCATGCGTAGCGTCGAGAAGTGGGCAAGAGCGCCTATAGAAGTTTAGAGAAGTTTATAGCCACAGAGAGCCGCACAGAGCCGCATTAACTCCCTTGGGTGAATCGCAGTGTTAGCAATGATCCGTGAGCTCTATAGCTATAAATAATAATGAAATAAATATGAAATATACTAATGTCATGCGATATTAAAACATTATTCTAAGTTAGCGATTGGTTGAATTAGAAATGTGTATAGGTGAACAATATAAAGTAAAAATGCTGAAATGGAATTTTTCATGTTTTTAAATACTCGCACGGTGGCGACACCGAAGCTTGCAGTCAGTTTGGTAACTTCCGGTTTGGGCAAATTTCTGAAAACTCTTATCTGTTGCTTTCGGTTTCTCCCGGCACAGAGCAGCTTGTAGTGACTCTATGTATTTAAAATGGCTTTCAGTATAGAGAGAGAGCTTATAGAATACGACGAACAGAAACTATGGCCGGTTGTTTATCAGGTAAAATATACATTCAAAAGGTTGTGTAGCTTCGCCCGTCCTACCTGATGCCAGATGTCAACCTAAGGCTAAGGCCAATGTTAGTGTACTGTGCGTGTGGTGATACTATTACTAGTTACTAATACTACATACATTAAAAACACAGTGATCATGATTTCGTGTATTGGCTCTTTAAGTATTAGGATCACTTGTCGATCCATTGCACTAATTGCAACGGGTTAAATGTGAACAGGACAGTAGCTTTCAGGGTATACGATCAGTTATAAATATAATTCCTAGTAATAGTAATACTAATAGTATAGGAGCATATATATATAGCTGACTTTAACAACAACAAAAATAATCACAGAAAGAATAAAAAATGAATATACCGTCCTGACGTGAGATTGTCGTCTCCTGTTCACCCAGGCCTATAGCTCCGATGTCAAGAAAGAAATAGCAATATCGATAAACTATAAGCACCCACATGTATCGTGCTTGCATGCACTATTAGATATGAATGGTAATACTCATCGTGGTTACAACACGCACGAGCTCTAGACGGCGCTCACGAACATTGCCGTTTTAATCTAGCCGAAAAAAAGATACTAAAATATGCAACCGTTGCGTGACACAACAGTCTTTGCCGAGAAATCTTTCCAGTTATCTCCGTGTCGTGTTTGACAAGGCGATATGTGCACTGTACACCCACAAAAACTACTTACGTTGGCTGCATGTGTTTCCAGCGCCCTGCTCACACGGTGACACGTATCTTAGTGGAGGTCAAATGTTTAAAGTTTCGTGAGATTTCTCACAAGTTCGTCTGTTTGCTAGTAGACAATACTGCTATCGCCCAGTCTGAATTTTACATAAACAAGTCACATCGAGCAAGATTTTCAGAATAGAATAACCAAAGATACAACTCGATCTTCTATAAGTTTATTGCCACGACATTTTAACAGTTAACCCATGAGTAGTTCAGACGGCACGTCTGGTGACAAATCTAACATTTATTCGAGAAATATACGGTGAACTACACAACCGCTACGTTACCTTGTAAATAGTGAAATTCTAACGCACGCTCGCCGTTTTCTTACGAATGTCTGATAACAGAAATACGCAGACATAGTCTTTTTTATGCATTATATGCATAATGATACACCCTCGGATTCTATGGCTATGATGTTCTCTCCCCTTTAGGTCACGAGTTTGACTCACGTGTGATTCAGGATTAGCAGTGTGCTGATAGACGCGTCAATGTTGGGGTCACACCGAGACGCTGCTCATATGATATGCTCCCGTTTTGGATCCGCACGATTTGAAATGGTTCGGTGCGCGTGTCGAGCGAGTTCGCCGTCCTCCGATCAAATATAACTCGTTTTAAACCAGATCACGACACGAGAGTGGTGAACACGGCGTGCGGATTATGGAATGCGTTATATGGCTACGTTCACGAATAAGACCGATGACGTAAGCGCGCACGTAACTTCTTTGTTTCCGCTGTTTCCGCTGCCGGCGCATTTCTCGACAACTCTGCTGTTTAGATGAATTTACTTTTACGGGCCGCGTATAACGAAGCCTTCGGTACGTCACATTCCACACGCCAGCAGCACGCAGATCTCTTCAGATTTCCACGGAAAATGAACCGTCGTTTCGCTTCGCATTCGCGATACTACGACGCGCCACAGCACGTAGCTCAGACGCTATCTCTCACTGCATAGTGTGGTGCTAACACACAACGCACTGGATTATGCACGAAAAGCCGTAAGGTTAATGGAACCCGATTCATAGCTTCACTCCGCCACAGACGCACACTAAACTATACAGTCGCGAGAGCCTGACGCAGGCAAATGAAGCCGCGGCTACGGCAAATTACGGCGTTTCATTGATTCAGGTCTCCGTGCATTACCGTGCTAAGTATGCTCCCCATTCCCTCCAATCGATCCGAACAGCCATGAGTGAATGTCTAGAGACAGGTGGCGTAAATTTCATTACGCAAGGCAACTTTAAGTTTAGCTAGCTTAAGTATCGTGTGATAGTCGCGCGAGCGACGGGAGTTTGCCAATAATGTTCACTTCTTATCTCTGTGTGCGGGTGGGGCGGACGTCCTTTTGCTTATAGGTGCGTGTGTGCGTGTGTGTGTGTGTGTGTGTGTGTGTGTGTGTGTGTGTGTGTGTGTGTGTGTGCCGCGCGCGTGGTGTGCGTGACTGCATGCGCGGTGCGTGCCTATTATCCCTTGGTGTAGAGTGTGCCGTGCATGCGCAGGTTTATTTGCAACTTCGTGTTAGCGAAGCACCATAACGGCATACACATCGAATTTATGCGCCTCACGTGTTGCGGCTGCGCGGTGTCTTGTGCGCAGAACCTCCACGCAGACCTGCACGCGTGTCGTCTGCGTGCAAATATACACCAGCAAGGCGATGACAGTGGTAACCATGATAAGTAGGTAGCCATGCAGTAAAGCCATGCACATAGGTAGCGTCGAGAAGTGCAAGCGCTCTAGAAGTTTAGAGAAGTTTTACAGCCACAGAGAGCCGCACCGCAGCCGCAATTCACTCCTTCGGTGAATCGCAGTTGTTATATCACTATCCGTGAGGCTCTAGCAAACTAATAATAAATTAAATATGAAAATCATATCTAATGTTCATGCATCTTAACACACATTATCCTCAAGTTCAAGTGATTGTTGAATCTAGAATGTGTATCACGAACATCATAAAGTAAAACACATTTGACATGGAATTTTTTATGTTTTTTAATACCTCGCACGGTGGCGACACCGAAGCCTGCAGTCCAGTTTCTGGTCCTCCGGTTTGGGCCAACATTTCTGAAACTCTAATCTTGGCTCTTCGTTCTCCCGCGACCGAGCGCTGTAGTGACTCCTAGATTTAAAATGCTTTCACAGTATAGAGAAGAGCTTATAGAATACGACGAACAGAACACTCTGGCCGTTGTTATCCCCGGTAAAAAATACCACTTCCACAAAGGTTGTTGTAGCTTTTCGCACCGTCCTACTGAATGCCAGATGTCAACCTAAGGCAAAGGCCAATGTTAGTGTACTGTGCGTGTGGTGATCATTACTAGTTACTAATACTACATACACTAAAAACACAAGCCAGAATCATGATTTCGTTATTCCGGCCTCTTTAAGTATTTAGGATGCACTTGTCGAGCCATTGCCACCTAATTGCCAACGGTTAAATGTGAACGGCGTACTTTGAGGGGTTCATTTGACACATATAAAATTAATATAAATAAACTAAAAACTAATTTTTTTTAAAAAACAAAAAAACCCCGCATGTCAACTGCAATTTAGCCTATTAGTGTGAGTACTCGCTGTGATGCTGGCTAATTTCGTTCCCAGGAAGAGAACATGTCCCAAAAACCATGTCAATTTACATCCATATAAACATAGATATTAACTATCTACATCAATATAGATATAATAGTTTAGGGTTAGGTTAGGGTAGAATTCAGGGTAGTTTAGCACATTGGGTTTTATGGACCTCCTGTCTCCTATGCCTTCGGCCGTACAGTTCGCTATCACTATCAGTTTTCCATTTACGTGTTGCACCGTACTGTCAGAATTTTAGAAATCAAGTGGCTGGAGCCCCGTGGAGTTACGGCAAGCCCGTCGTTCGTTGAAGCTCCTTTTGGCGTTTGTTAGGGCTGAGTTCCATTATTTGCAATCTTCCTGATGTTCAAAAAAGACCAAGCTTGGTGAACGATGACATGGACGAATGTCCACGTAATGTTGCCCGCTACCCGAGGCCTCCCAGCTCCAACAAACACAAAATGCCCAAAACAACAACATCGCTATCCACGGTTCGCTATAGGTTTTGTATCCATCTTCCACCAAACTTGGTCTTTCGCAAAATCCTCGCCTACCCCTCTTCCACAGCCTCAACCGGGTGCGATACCACAGTCACAGTTTTTTGGTTGGGCAAGAAGACCTACCAGGCAGCTTACCAGAGTTTAACCGACACATGGTGACCCCACCTACTCAAACCTGATTCTTCACTCTCGACGTTGATACATATTCAGCGAATCGCAATGCCTAGTTGTTCTCATGTACAGCAAAGGGATTGTGTGCAGATGGTGTGCCAACGAGGCCCGCCATCGCCTATTCCACGCACTCGGAAGCGAGAATGTTGAGAACCTCCCCCCTCACACAAGCAGCCACTTGTTCCAGCTGTCCACACCGAGCGCTACTTCTCAGCGCCAGCTTCTACGAATCTAGTCTACACGTGCAGCAATGAATCCCCCTTAGTAGTGGGCTGGCAACAGATGTACGGGTGCCTGCAGCCCGCTATGGACTACACCCGTGACGCTTCACAACATGCACCCTTCGCCTGCACCTGCCCTTGCGCGAGCGAGCGACAGGAAGGTGCAAGTCACATCGCGCCGGTGTCAGGTGCACAATGCTCGTGCAATCGAGAGCGGCAATTGCTAGCAACAACGTTGACCGCACGACTATGGACTTAATGCAACTGATGTACAGCCATATGTAATCGAACACTGTTTCCCGAGTCGAACCTTACTGATTATATACCTGGACACACACCATGACAGCTAATCACTCTCTAACCCAAAGATTCATATCGAAAGCCCTACCTGCCTGTTGTATTTGTCTCTTTATACACCAACTGTGTAACTGTAACTATGTTAACTAACCATACCTGTAGGCAAATAGCTGACCAATATGGCACTAGGCCAAATCAAGCAATTATAGCTTTGATTGAAGCCAGTCCCCGTGTGGCCACCATGTTTGAAGGCTTCGTAGAAATATAAATTTTACAAGAATTATTGGTCTCTAAATTCACCTTTTATTATTTGCCTTACATAAGTATGTCATATGTTTATGTGTGCCCATGTTATAATTGATAACCCTCAAATTAGTTATCATCCCAACTTACAGTCCCCTCCAAAGATAGATAAGAGATTCAGAAAATGCTAAGTATACACATCAAGCATTGGCCCGTATCGGCAGCCATATTGGTTTGCACATTGCAACAGCCCAAAGAAACCTCAAATGATGTAAGAAGCATTATTACAATCAGATTCTCTGACCCCTGAACAACCGCCATAAATACTAATAGAACTTTTATTCAATACCATGCCCTTTCCCTTTTGTAACTTAACACTTGATGTCTTTAAGCTCAGATGGCGGCCATTTTGGATTTGCCCAATATGGCGCCACCAGGGGCGCCCCTTTCTTTGCGCTCGCGGCAGATCTAAGCAGTAGTGTAGTAGTAGCTACCTCTGGAGCCAAACTTTGGTACTTTAGAAGAATCTGCACCAAACAACCCTTGCCTATATCTTAATAGCCTACCACAGCCGTCTGACTAAGTAGCAGCCTACGTGGATAAGCGTATCCTCTCATCTTAACACTCACACATCAGGAGCTCCGCTTTTAGGCAGCCTAAAGTCTGAATATTATAAAAACGTTAAATGGTCGATCATTTGGTGTACGCCATACACTCGCCCACTAATCTTCAGAACTTTCACCATCTCAAACATTATTTCACAATAAAAAATTACACATAATTATCAAGAGTAATAATGGGAGTTCTCCCATCATATACTTCTTGTTTCATAAATGTACCGTCGCATGGTTTGCTCATTAAAACTGACTTCTCTCACTCATCATTTTGTGTCGCTTTTTTGTGTGAGGGGCTACAGTGTCATTGCACTTTCATTAGCTCGTCTTGACATCGTCAAGCTTGAGCTTGCCCATGGGTCGTCGTCCGTCGTACGTCCGTCCGTCCGTCAACATTTCGCTAGCGGTCACACGATAACTCAGGAACCGTTTGGCCCACAGTTTGAAATTTGTTGTATAGTTGTTACTGCTATGCTCCCATATTAAACCCTATTTGAAGCACGCCACTCGACGTACTTTCGAGCCACGGCAATTTTTTGGCAAAATGGGAATTGCCATTTGTCAGTTCAGGTTCAACGGATTTTTGGTATGTGAATGAATAGGGGCAAGGGTTTTGATATTTAAAAAAAAAATTATGCAAATTAGGTAGGGTTTGGCAATTATATAGCATATTATATAGACACAAACAGTCTTGTCTGGTTTGTTTTACAAGGTTTTATTGACAATATCTTTAATGCAAAATTGGTATTTCCTCTCCACCCTGCCGATAAAACGTCTATATTAGAGTAAAGTTTTACAAAACATGTCGGAACGCAGCATAACCTATTTATTTCAAACGCCATCGCTACAAAGCGGGTATAGCGCCATCTACGGTCACAAATTGTGATTCATTTTGGTTTATAAATTATTATTGCGATATACAGATGGCAATCGTTTCTAGTATAATGTACGTCGATGGTTGCTCAATTAAAACTGACTTCTTCTTACTCACTCATTTGTGTTCTTTTTTTGTGGTGAGCTACAGTGTCATTGACACTTTCGTTTTTGATAGCCGTATTGTAGACGGCATCATATTGATTGTCATCGTTGTATTCAGCTGGCCTATTATATTTAGCAGAATAGTTACTGTCATTCTAAGCAGGTTGCTCCCTATTGGCAATACATCGCCATTGGCGTCTAAGTGGTTTGTTTTTAATCTGCTTCATTTATTCCCACATAGAAAATTCGACAGGAGAGTATGCTTGCAAATGCTTCGACGGCGGACGCACGAAAGCCCGAAAACAGATCTCGAAATCGCTACAGAGATGTCAGTCCGTGTAAGTAAAGTAACCGTTTCCCACTAGAGCGGTCAGAGGAGCCAGTTCTACCTTACACATTGTCTTCGTTGGTGCATCGGACCCATGCAACCTGTGGATGTACACTCAAGTGTGCAGGCTGCGCATATTAATCTGGCGTTTGTTCTTTCTTTTCAACAGACGATCACAGTAGAGTAATGCTAAAATGCGGTGACAACGATTATATAAATGCCAGTCTAGTCGAAGCTCCTGAAGCTAACAGAAGTTATATCCTCGCTCAGGTAGGAATGAAATGTGTGGATTAGAGACGCAATGCAGTTTCACATCAGTACAAAAGAATATTGAATCACTCACCACTTGGAGCAGTGGTGTAGAATCTGTAACAGTACCATTGACATCGTTTTCGTACGTACTAACCAGTGGAGTGGAATTCTGGTATTTGGTTACACACGTTGTCCATGTCTTTTGAAGTATGTGGGGTTGTTAAGGATTTCATTGTATTTGAATGTAATGGTGTTGGACTGTAAAAGCGTGTACACATAATATGTACAGAGACTTTTTAGAGAACAGAGACGTTTAGTGGAATTGTATTTAATTTATGTATTATGTGTAGTATAACATGGTATTACATTGATATATATTTTTTGTTTTGGTGATTAACTTTCTCTCCCTATGTTTAGGGTCCACTTGTTCACACATCAGGCGATTTCTGGCAAATGGTTTGGGAGCAAAATTCAAAAGCCGTCATAATGTTAAATAAAGTCATAGAGAAAAATACTGTAAGTATAACATACAGATCTTTTTGTTTAAATTATCTATATATCAGCTGTGGACATGGGCATCGACTTCGTGCCTGCATAAATTGTACTCTCTTGTCTGCTTGTGACAGTTAGCTGTTGTCAGGCTGAGATTCTGTAAACAATTTTCTAGTAAAGATCTTGATCGGCCATCATGCCAATTGCACTAAATTATGTAAAGACCAGTGCAGTGTAACTTTATATGCAATTGAAGAAAAGCGACCTTTCATGTGCAGTTGTATCGCTCAATGATAGAATTTTCACTGTCAACAGATCAAGTGTCACCAGTATTGGCCTAAAGGAGCAGCAAGTAGTAGCGATGAGTTGACATTTGATGACAATCCTTTCCGTGTCGTCAACATGTCAGAAGTTGATAACAACTACTACACGGTCAGGACTTTGAAGTTAGTCAATACAGAGGTACGCGATAGTGAAGACGTGGATAATGTAGATGCCAAGTTGCCTTCTAGTTTGTGTGTTTGTTTCATGTCTAATCTTCTGAAATTACCCACTTCATCATCGGTTTGTCGATAAGATACCATCATCTAATTATATTATTCAACAACTTTCATATTAAATTTGCAAACAATTTATAAGACAGCATGTTGCTGGACTTCATTGGAAACCAAACTTTAGGAAAAGTCTCTTTTCACCCAAGCGAATAAAGCGCACTTGTAAATTGCACTCAAGTAAATTGCACTCAGCGAGCTTGTGCACGAATCAACACGATATGTTTTTTCCCCCACCACCTGTATTTCGCGCGTGCGATCCCGTCGTGGCCGCCGCTGCAGACTGAGGAGTCGCGAGACATTCTACATTTCCACTACACGACCTGGCCGGACTTTGGCGTGCCGGAGTCGCCGGGAGAGTTCCTCAGCTTCCTGCGGGCCGTGCGCGAGTCGGGAGCGCTGTCGCGCGACGTCGGTCCTCCCGTGATCCACTGCAGCGCCGGCATCGGCCGCTCCGGCACACTCTGCATCGTCGACACGTGCCTCGTGCTGGTGAGCATGCGCGTAGTCGAACCTGTGTATAAGGGTCGCTCGCGGTCGAACCTGTGTATAAGGGTTGCTCGCGGTCGAACCTGTGTATAAGGGTCGCTCGCGGTCGAACCTGTGTATAAGGGTTGCTCGCGGTCGAACCTGTGTATAAGGGTTGCTCGCGGTCGAACCTGTGTATAAGGGTCGCTCGCGGTTTGGAAACGATGCTTCGTTGGCAGATTAAAGGACAGCAGTCTATTACGACAGTAGTTAAAAGAGATGTCAGTAACGTACCGTCAAGGGTGGCTAGCATTCACTCAGATGCAAGGTTCTGACTGTGATGTACTTGGTTTAGTGCACGTTGCCGAAATCTTGACTCTCGCAAAACGGTGGCAAGCACACCGATTTCAAAATGCAAAATAATATGGGAAATTGAAAAAAAGCTGTATTGCCTACGAATGCTCTGTGCTGTTTGTCATAGATTGAGAAGTCTCGAGATCCAGAATCTATAGATGTGAAAGAAATACTGTTGGACATGAGAAAATATCGTATGGGACTCATCCAAACCCCGGACCAACTCAGGTACTGATAGTGTCACTCTCCCCTCCCACCCCCTCTGATGGAAAGCAGTTATAGCAGACAGTTAGCAACACTCAGGGTCAAAAGTCTTATGTAATATAATAGTAATGTAGAATGGGGTGATTATTATTAATATATTTAATTATTATTATTATTATTATTAATTATATTTAATATCTTAATTATATGAACTGATCTTTTTTAATGGTATCCTAATAAACCTACCTTATTTGTAGGTTCTCCTATCTTGCCATAATAGAAGGTGGCAAACGCATACTGCAGGAGACGGCACATATCCAGGTAGGTGATCGTGAGCGCTAACTAAAGAACTACATATGTGTCAACGTAACTTTGATAACAAATTGGCTAAGTTGAGGTGGGTGGGGGTCAATTCCCAGTTTCCTAGGTAATGGGGTGTTTGAATGGAATGTGAAGTGAAAGGTGGTAATGTGAAGTTTTCCCATTCCAAATTTAATTAAAATTGCAATTTTCTTCTTTTCCTGCTTTACACATTTTGGCACATTTTGACACACGGTTGACACATTTTTCTGAATTACAAAAAATTGATCTGGTATTTTCCGGTTCCAAATATTAAAATGAAATTAAATTGAATCCAGTGTCTTGCAGATAACGGTTGCTCCCTCTTAATTTGAAGAGGAAGCTGGTAGCACTGGCCAAGGAGCTATTTTGGTGCAAGCTAGTAAAAGCATAGAATACCTATACAAGTATATACAATTATAATATAAGTATGTACAAGTACAGTACAATATGGTATATGTGTTCATGATGAGAATAGTTTATTCTTCAGTGATTGCAATACTCTTGTACTAAGAGTGTGGAAGGTCTTGTGTGCTTGTTAAAAGAAAGTTTAGCCTCTAGTTGGCTAAAAGAAAATTAACGGCACTGACATGCTACGTGAATTCACGTACGTAAAAGGCAGGCTTAGCATGCTAGACTGCCGATTATTTGTAGATAAACAGCGGCACTGTAATGCGTTTCGACGTTTAGCGTTCAGTCGTAGAACCCGGGCTGATTGCATAAGTCTGTTTTGTCGCTGCAGAATGTAATGGATGCAAACAACGTCGAGGATAAAAACAAGAGAACGGACAGCGAGTCGAGTGCTAGCGAGGACAGCGCTCTCGCGTCAGAGAATTCGACGGAGGAGAACAATGTTGCCGGTCAGAGCGATCACAGCACGAAACCAGCGATGAATCCCAGTGAATCGTATAGGTAAGTTTTTTGCCGGAATCGATCGGAATCGGAATTGACCGGGGGAGATGTTCGTGACCGGTAATGGGGGCTGTGCACGCGCGATTTCTCATTAAGTCTGCATCGCCATCTGCGTTTAAAAAATCGACTGTTTTGTCGGGTTTCCACTTTCGTGATGTATCTGCAGGGGAGCGTTGAAATAGTTATCCAATTCTCTTGATGTAACCCTCTAATTCAGTCAACTTTACTCCCTCTAGTCTAGTCTTCGGTAGTCCGCTGTAATGTTTCTCCTTCTCTTCCCTGCCTCGTATCTGATTGTTCATCTCTCTCTTTTCCCCATCTCATGTCTAATTTCTCATCTCTCTCTCTCTCTTTCCCCCACTTCATGTCTAATTGCTTTTCTCTCTTCCCCACCTCATATCTAATTGCTCATCTCACCCTTTGCACCACTTCGTGTGTAATTGCTTACCTTTCTCTTTCCCCCACCTCGTGTCTGATCGCTCATCTCTCGTTCTCTCTTTCTCTTTTCCCCACCTCGTGTCTGATCGCTCATCTCTCGTTCTCTCTCTCTCTTTTGCACCGACGCAGCGGCGACGTGGAGCTGCGGCGGCGCACGCGACAGGAGCAGCAGCGCAGCCTTGCCGAGAAAGTCGAGCAGATGCGTCGCCGGCAGCAGGACAGCGAGAGGAAGCGGCCGTCGCGCGTCCGACCGCTCGTCGTCGCCGTCGCCGCCGCTGGCGCCGCACTGCTCATCGCCGGCGGCTTCCTTCTCTACAAGTACTACCAGTAACATCGCCCCGAGCGCCGGCCGCCAGGTGTCGCCGCCGGGGCGTGTTCGCCCCGCGTCATCTCCGGTAGGCGGAATCCGAGGCGCGTCGTCGTGGGCGCGTCGTGCCGTTCTTTCCCGAGGCGGCGGCAGCCCCTGCGTTTCCGACGTCGAGAGGGTCGTTTCCCCTCGCCCCTCCCCTCCCCCCCGAGAGACGGCTGTCACGCTGTTGGCTTCACGCTCCCAGTCTTCTCGCCGCAGCGGCAGCAGCAGCGTCCGGCGCACCCCCGCCGTTTGTCGCCGCGCACGGGCCCGTCGTCGTCATTGGCGTTTTACTCGACGGATACAGTTACGGTAGTAGTGCGGCAGGATCTCGGGCGGCGGTGGCGGCAGTGTAGATGGGTCACGCGACGCATGTCGCCGGAGCTGAAGTGTTTCTAGCTCTATAGCAGTTTTTCAGTGGCCAGTCTGGCGGTTGGTGCGAACCAACGTAAGTGTGGGTTAAAGGGAAGTGACAGTGTTAGGCCACTCGGTTCCTCCTGGTTCTGCTGTAGGCTCTACCGCTTTCGACAGCTCCATATTCGTGATCCACACGGTGTCAGAATGTCAAAACACGCAGCTGGCAAATTGAACAGCCCCTATATAGTTTTTAATTGCCGAACTATCTTTTTCCCATTTACAATACGAAACGATCTCATAGTTGTATAAAACAAAGTCCTGTACAGTCCATATGAATGCACCTAGGCACAGATATCGTCAACTATAATATCATTGATCAGGCTTCTCTTAGAAGAAGCCAGCATGGCTGACCGTGGCAGGATACCGCAGCAGGAGGGGTAAAGGGGGTTTAGCCAAGCCTTCGCGCTTGAAAGGGCGACTGTTACTATATTTTTAAGTACATCGATAGACACATGGTGCCGTCATGCGCACTAGGTGTCATCCTCATAGGAGAGGCGAGTAAACGACAGGTAGGATACTTAACAGCAGGCAGTGCACACGTGTGTTTGTCTTGCGTGCCTTTCCTCTCCGTCTCTGCATTTTCAGAAGCAGTCAGTTGATTGCCTGTGTTTTCCAGCGTCTAAGGTACATACTCACAGCATGTAATTTCACGAGCACACGAGTAGAACATGATATATGTACATCCGTAATAGTGTAGAAATAGGAAGCGTGTAGCAAATTCCTTCTAGTCTTGCAACGGTGATAGGAAGCATTGGAATAGTAGTTGCTGACGCATTGAATGAGCGCTGATGACCTTTTGTTGTTAACAGCACTCGTATTCCAATGTCGTCTTAAATACATGACAACTTTGAACCTATATGCTTGGAAATCAACACTACAAGTTCCGATACGTGTGTCACATAATGTACATACATTATAATATATTCTCATCTCTTCTGCACAATGACATATGAATTCTGTTGTACCTAGACGTGCGGTTATTGTACTTGCCGTATCAATTTGCATATAAATATGATTATTATCTATTTTTATATACACTCGCAAGTCAATCATTGTGCACAAAGTTTCTCAGTTTTTTGCACATTAGCGTGTTCCGATAATAAGTCTTCGAGATGTCCATTGAATGCTGAGTAACGACTTAAGTGTGGTCCTACACAGGTGTGTTCTGTGTGTGCAGTTGTGAGTCTCTTTCTCCTCTTCAATGTACAGACAGTGGTGGGTGTGAATCTCTCACTTGTGCTATGTAAAGTACAAAGTTGGTAAGTGCATGGTTGGTACGCATCATGCTTTTTAGATTTGTCAGTGTCTTTGAGAACGTGGCAGTGGGCGCGTTCCCTCTCGGCATGCATCTCGCTCAGTCACTAGTATTCGTAATCTATTTATTTGTCGTTGCCGTTTCTTACGTGGGTCTTATACGCAGCAAAGGCTAATAATTACAGATCGTCTACCATCTTTTAAATCATGTCAGGGTGCTTGCTTGTTTCGTCTGCCAGTACTGCAATAGAAGTTTTCAACAGAAGAGAATCCCGTTTGCTAAAACCACTCGTTAAGGGCGATAAAAAAGCATAGATCGCTGTTGCAGTGATGGATAAATTTCTAAATTCTAATTCTAATTCTAAATTGCGTGCGTCGATCGGGACGTACTGCTTCTAGCTCGTTACGTCGTGCTCCAGAGTTCGAGAGGTTTGTGAACCGATTCTCTTGAACATAGAATACGCATAGAGATTGTAGGTGTGCTTATGACATTAAGTGGAAACTGTATCTGCAGTAGGAACACGAGTAGAAAGGTACGGTCATGACTTACGTGTTTGACACTTTCGTCTTCTGAATAAAATTCGTTTGCTATCGAGGCAGGCTGGTAGATAGAAGCTGTGACCGTATATTTGTGGACATGTTACTAAATTAGCTGTACATTACCTGACTTCTAGAACCAGGGGCCGTTGTCAGAAACAAATTAAGTCTTAACATTAGTCTTAACAGTGTTTCTTGTAGACCGGACCTCAATACACTGCGTATGAGAAACTCGTAACTTTACCATGTTTCTGTCAATGGTCTAGGAGAAAAAGTTAGTGTTAAGACTAATGTTTAGATAATTTTCTTTCTGACAACGGGCCTCTGGCGTGCAAAAACCCGTCATTCCGTATTTAAAATTCGCTCACGGCTTGCTAAGCGTAGATAATCATGGAGTATACGTGTAAGACGCCTAGGACGCTTTTCACTGGTTAATCACAAATGCAAATTGCAAAGATTTCGGTTGTTATTTGTCGACTTGCACGGTAGCATGGTAGCCCAGCAAACAGCAGTACTTGATATCGGAAGCCACGACGGTATAGGAGCTACATTTGCCAGTGTGGCTGTCACTGTATAACTACAGTCATACCTGTGTTGGCGGATAGCTCTATAGAATGAGCACATGGCCACGATGGATGCTCTTGGCATTTTCCCTTCGAGTGGCAGTTATATAGTGAAACCACATCTCTAACATCTATACTCATTTACAAAGGACATTGTTTGGGGATTTGACTGTACAAGTGAAGTAACAACAAAATAAACGCAACTGGTATCATATATCGAACTAAAATGTCACGCAATGCTTCGCTAAAATTTCATTGTAAATCACGATATTTGCATGAAAGCTGTTCTTCGTCTGTGGTCTTAGGTGCTGGGCGCTGGTTTTTTTAATAGTTAAAAGAAAATTTATGTGATTGTACATAAACGTCTGTAGAATAGCCCCCCCCCCCAACGGTTGTTCTGGTCACCTTGGAGACGTTCTCCTTATGTATCACGTCAGAGTCGTGTATTTCGTGAACATATATATTACCCGAAAGTATGTGGAAGTGCGCATGGGACTGGCGTCTGTACATATCCTACACTGATCAGTGGTGTAGTACTAATGTAACGTAGAAGGCTTGTTAAAATTCTCCTTGCCATGCTTGGGAAGTACACGGACGCGTTCAGTGCTCGCACGCATGTGAAATAGTGGAACTAACTTTGGTATTCTGCATGGTATTGCGGTCGTTTTTTGATCAAGCCGAAGCGATTATGTGACTGTGTTGGATCACCGAATATGTGGGCCTGCCAGCTTTTATCGTGTAGTTCCATTGCTATAAAATCTTTAACGTTTATTTTGGAAGAACACTTCTAGGCACTGATCGCACGTGTACTGCGCGTGCGCAGTCGCGCCAAAATATATATGCAGTCTTTGATCGCATACACAGGAACAACTGGTTGGTGGTGATTGCGACTGCTAACCAGCGCCCCCTGCCGGTGCTGTGAGTTACGCCTGCTGTAGTACGCGGAATTGTGCCAATTTATCCGGTTTGTAAACGACTGAGAAACACATTACACGACCGAAGTAATGGTTCGGTTTCGACCATCCAGGGAGAATACTTCTTCGTAGGAAATGTTTCGACAAGCCCTGTGCATTTCAGCTCGTCTGGATTTATCGCGATTACCAGTCACATATTTTTTCGTGCCACTTGCTTCGCGTGATAAATGTCAGTCTATGAGCAGTTCGTTTGTCAGATCGAATATTGACATTTGCGCATGTTATTCAGATGTGAGAGTATGTAATGCGTTTATAGGGTGCCGTTGTTGAACATTCACAGTGATTTTAATGTAGTCTAGCATGCATTAAGTTTCATTATCTTCTTTATACCCACGTGTTTTTGTTGTTGCCCTGGCCCATGCAGGTGTGTTTTCTGAAACACTATCATGCAAACACCGTTACTTCAGATCAGATACTTACATTCCATGCCAGCTGATTTAGTCCGCTCTGAGAAAATGAGTCATATATACTTGGTGAGTTTACTTTTATAGAAGGCAATTAGGCGCTGCCTGAAACTGAGGCCTTTTCACTATAACCGCTGCTTAATCAATGAAAGTGTTTGTTTTATCATCATCTATTTGCCAGTTTTACCTGACAAGGCTTCTGTATTTGTGCCACTCTTAGGTAAACGGTGCCAGTGTGTGTTTTGCCCATCAAGATCTTATCTATTTTGTTTTTCTTAAATTGCTAGGCGTTTTTTTTCTTTTTTTTTTCCTAAACGTTTTACCCACATTACCTTTTACTGGGTAGTAGCCCTATTGTGAAGTGAAATAATATCTGTTGCCAGCAAGGAACGTAGTGACATACGTAATTATTTTATTTCCAGTTAACATATGGTTATTTTATGTATTGCTAACTAGTTGTTCCAAGTTGTTTTTGCTGATTCTTGTTTTCTTTTAGATCTTACTGTAGATTGACAAGCTTAACAAATGAGCAGATGAACAAATATGGCGTTAAATTTGTTACGCTATGAAATGTCGCACTGACGTTATTTCGATGTGGGTCATGATCTACCTTTTTGATGTGGTCTGGCATTACTTTGCACGTTGATTATTTTGCATTGCAGTGCAAAATGGTGTTATTATTCTTATTCTTATAAGTAGGCATGCAATATTGCCCTCATAGTTACGGTAATTTTCAGTGTTCTGTTGCTGTCCATGCTCATGTCACTTTGTGCACGATAACTGTATTACACTGTTGTGGTTTAGTGATGCGTACTAAATCGTGTAACCACCCTGTATGATTCAAGTGGGCTATGTTATCGTATACTTATAGATAAATAGTAATAGCATAAATTTACTATAAAATAGGCCAAATATTTCATTTTACAGTTTCAATATATTTAAACAATACATGAATTGCAATACAGCAAACAAATACCTTTCTTAGAATTATATGGTCCATGCGGCGTTTTAAATTCATGATTTGGTCTGTGGTAAGTGAAACCTAAATAGTTGTGGCTATACCCTAACGGCAGTTCTCTTGTGGCAGGAGCTGTGCCTCATGCATTCTATATTGTTTACCCTCTGCAACGTTCACCATTTAATATGAAATGTATGTATATTTTTATGTAAAATTAAAGGTGTATTTAGCATAAAAAATTAAGTGTTATGTTAAACAAATATAAATCATTAAAGCTAGGTATTGGACCAATGTTTGATTCACTTTATAAGTAACAACACACACACCGTTATGAATGTAGTAAACACAATGAGTTTAACAGAAGCTGGTAACACAGAATTTACATAATATGTGTTGCCATTCCCTACAAATAGGCATTTGCTTCAAGGTGATGACTAAGCTGGCGAAATTGAAACGCCACGTACGTGACTTTACTCATTCATGTAGTACCGAAAATTGTGGAATATTTAGTAGTAATAATTGAACTAGAGTAGTATAGTAAAAAAACTGCAGCACCTTTCACAAACGCACAGAATCATCTAAGCTTGTCATTAATACACGAAAACAAAGAGGATTTCACATAGCAACAATGAATTCAAGCAAATACTAGAAATGAATAGGTGCTGACCAGGAACGGATCCAGGATTTGAAGAAGAGATGGGATGGGGCGCACTTCGACAAACTATGTTGTGAAGCCCGTGGCGCGGGGGTGGGGGATATCCGGTGGCCCTCCCCCGACCCCCAAAGTCGCGGCTTTCCGTGGATTTGTTGATTTGTTTTAACGTTCGAATATAAATTGTGCGGTGGTATTCATTCTACACCACTAGTTCAGCATTAATTTTGTTGATTACGGGCCTATCATCTGTCTTTAAGTAACAAAATTTGATATTGACTTCTAGCTCACATCTTGCTCACTAGCCTAGCACTTAGTCATATATATATATATACATAATACATATATATCAACGACCACAATAGGCATAGTCGTCTAGTAACCGTCAGGAAAAGATGCGCAATATATAACAGGGTACATTAGGTTCAGAGTCGGTAAAGTGTTCGTTTCCATTATTTTGTTCTACTCGTCCACCATACTCATTTTCTAACACGCTTTACATGAGACGTCACTTAGCGCCACAGACATGAAGCAATCGGATGCCCCGGCGCACGCAGACAGTCAACACAGTAAGTGTAATGATTATATTTCCACCCGTGTATACGTGTACGCTCGGGTGTGTTGGTGTGTGTGTGTGTGATCGCGTGTGTGTGTGTGTGTGTGATCGCGTGTGTGTGTGTGTGATCGTGGCTCGTGAGTATAGTGTATACCATGCGGTGTTCTAACCCAAAAAGGTCCTCGCTTGGTGCGGGTAATTATGAATTAATTACCCTGAGGTTAGCATAAAATAATAGACAGACCAGACGTGTACGTACAACAATATATATATATATATATATCTATTCTTCCTATCACCAATTAAATACAAGCATACAGGGGTAATGTATAAATAGTCTACGTATCTTAGCTAGCGCTCTGTCTCTCTCTCTGCACATACAGAGTGTATGTTTGTACTACTTGTTTCTCATAGAACAATCAACAGAGTTGATGTATATGATAAACAGAGGTAAGTACCGTAAGTAAACAAAATACAGTGACTCAAAATAGTTTAAAGAGAGAGAGAGACAACAATACGATAGAGCACTAATACGATAAGACCTATTGATACATACCAGATGTCGGTGAAGCTCGAACTGACATTTGAGTCTAGTAACACGGTATATATTCTAATTTCAAGATCATTAGCCTTCTATCTGACGTCAGTACTGGCCTCGACACGCCCCTTGGACGGCGGGCTCAATGGACAGTTTTTAAGGTGGTCAAGTTGACCGTTCTACGTGACTGCCTGCCATCGCACGACTTATTAGCTTAATTGTCTTTGAGATTAATTGTTTCTGCAACCTGTCGCGACATTCTAACATTCTATCCCTTAGGCTAGTCGGTAGTTTTACAATTTCCTTAATTACTTTCTCCTAATCAACTTTCCCTTTTATGATAATATTAGCTTCATTACATAAGTAGATCTTCTTAGCACGTGGATTCCTCGAATTGCAATAAAAACAGCCAATTTTATATGCAGATCGTATATGCACATACCGCATATGTCATAAGAGGGCCTCGATAAAAGAAGAGATGCCATCTATAAAAAAATAGGTGCCACATCTTAGTTAGATTAAGGTCCTCTCATGGCAAAGGTTTCACTAATTCCATTAATTTTCTTTACTTTATATAAAAGCATCACACGCCTATATTATGTGGGCCGTGGGCCGTAGCTCTATTTCGGTTTGCCTGAGGCCACGTATGTTCTATGTTACGGCATACACATACAATAAAACATACATGCAGACATAATGCGCGCACACACCCTTATTCATCATTCCTCATTCACTAGCGTTCACTTTCTCTCTTTCTCTTTGACACACACGCAAACACACACACACACACACACACACACACACGCACGCACACACACAAACACACACACACACACACACACACACACACACACTTACTCACTCACTCACGCGCGCGCGCTCTCTCTTGAGCTGGCTCTCTCACTCACTTTCTCTTTCTGTCACGTACTCCCTTTCTCGATTTTTCTCTTTCACTAGTTCTAACCTCCGGTTTTCTCTTTCTCATTCCCTTTCTCTCCCCTCTCTCTTCTGTCTGTCTGTTTTCCTCGCTTACGCTTTCTCTTTCTCTCTCTCTCTCTCATCGGCGAGAAAATATCAAACGT